ATTAAATCTGCTAGAGTAATGAGCTAATATAACAAAGATAGTATGTGTAAAGGAACTGTTATAGAAATTGAATAGTGTACTGGTATGCAAATAAGCAGTAAACTATAAAGAGTGGCCTGCATGCATAAATAAATAGATAGATAGATGGATGGAGAGATGGATAGATGGATGGTTAGATAGATAAATAGACTGGCAGATAGACAGATATACATATAAATAAATAAATGAATAAATTAATTAATAAATAGAGAGGTCAAAAACACTAAGACAGGTTTACACGTAGGCTTTATGATAATGTAAATGAATTGTTATGTGCAAGAAAATACTTTGAAAACGATAGTTCTTTTAACATGATGATGAATATCTCAAGATAAATACTGCATGAATAGATATCCTCTTCATAGGATAAATTTTTTTAATAACTTTTTTTCATGACATTAGAAATTGACATATTCATTTAAATTTCTGTGTAACTTTGGTTAAAGAATAAACTGAAAGCAGCAAGAAATATTCAGTCTTACTATTTATGAGAATTATTAATATCATTTCTTTTTAGTATAAACAATAAATAAAATAAACATGGTGATGTTCATTATTACTGGTTTAAGAGGAAGTCAATCCTGATATTACGTTGGTTTTAATATAAACAGAAACTAGATGGAACTTTGATTGCACGCAGTCGAAAATGATGCCTCCGCCATATAGTGATTTTTCAAACCAAAACAGAATTAAAAACAAAAATTAAGTTTGATTGTAATCCATTGACAGGATCTCAGAATATCGTAATTACAAGCTTTTTTTCATACATATACAGGATCTTGGACCTCATGATCCTAAAATATAATCAGTTCATTGGCTCTGCAACATGTCCTGGTTTTGCAAGATAATACAATGTACAAGTTTTGAGTTTGATGGTAATCCGTCCATCTGTTCTAATGATAATGCGATCACAAGCTATTTTTGCATACCGGTACATAATTAGCCCTCGACCTTTGACTTCATGACCCTAAAATCAAATCAGTTCATTGGCTCTGCAAGATACATACATGACCCAAGTTTGGCTGGAATCGATCAATTGGTTCTTGAGATAACGTGATTACAAGAACGGGATGCACAGACGGACAACCCAAAAACATAATGCCCTGACTACTTTGTAGCGGAGGCACAAAAATGAGAGCAATAGGTCTGTGAAAGTATGAGTGAAATCTGATTGAAAATCAGGATGCTATGAATTTTGAAGTTGTGATCCATGAAACACAAATTGGCAATTCTGTGACGTATCTTGCGAGGTCATATCACATTTACTCTCTGGTAAGAAAAAAAATGCAAGTTTCTATTCTCCCTGAAGAAAATTTTGAATCATGAATACAAACACCCTAAAAATAATTATTGCAAATAGGTTTTTATGCAACCTCTGTATGAAAAAAAATCTATTCCGTCATCAATAACTAACAAAATGAAATTATTTGTTGGTGAAGTACAGTTAAACCTGAATCTACCGACGCAACCGAAACAGAACAGAAATATGAAACAGAGCAAATTGGAGAGGACCGTGCAAGATATGTGACAGTGTTACCAATTTGTGCTTCACTTTTTTTCTAGTTTTATTAATACTAGATAATTATCAGGGTGGAATTCCCATTAAAGACCCTCTGCACTGGTTTAGCATGGAGGGATTAGCCTCCCTGCGAGGTCACTGGCAGGTGGTTATCTCATCAAATCAGCTCTCAATTAACATAAAAAAAAGAACATCATGGGGGATCAATGGGTACCGCTTAAGAATAGCTGGCTGTATAGAGGGCGCAAGTAGCTTTAAGTAGTGCAGTGGGGCTTTAAGACTGTCAAGTACTTCTGTAATGATCACCAATTAAAACGAACACCAGACCATGGAAACGAACATTCAGGACCCATGGAAACGAACATTCAGACCCATGGAAATGAATGTCTTATAGACAAGTGAAGGTTTGAGGATATATGAAAACATACTACAGTGTTTTGGAAACTCTTGATCTACAGTGTCTCTATATTCTATATGCACATCACTTCTGCAGAGTGAAAATGAAAAAAAGTATATAATTCACTCATTTTTCTCACCTTTTTAGGATTTTTAAAGTAAATCGTATGTTGCTAGTTCTTCAAAGGTGTAACAAATAAAGAAAATAAACATGAATAAAAATGAAATCAATTAATGACATGGTAATGAAAAAAAAATTTACATGCAAAGGAATATAATAAATGTAATTATCACAACAAAATATGACTATTGCACATGCAAAATGATCGAGAAATAGACAATCACATACCAAATAAAAAAAAGAAGAAAATAGCAGTGTTACTGAATAATGATAAAAAACAGAAGAAAAAATCAATTAAGTTTGATGTAGTCAAATCATGCAAGCAATTGCATACACGCACATAACACAAGAAAGACCATTTCGCACAAAACGACACTTGTAAATACCGTATGCACTAAAATACAAGTCTGTCACACTTATAAACACATAAAAGTGGAGTCTTATGGGGAATTTGACACCATACAGGTGTTACCCCACAGCACAGGGATAAGCCTTCAATTTTATGACCAATAAGCTTTATGTAATGCTGTCTTTTACCCATATGGTAAAAGCCTTATTTGACATTTGCTCCACCAGAAGACTCACCGAGAGATGAGGGGGTATTTGTTGAGTGGACTACGAGTTTGCTGTGTGCAGACTTGTATACCCATTCATGGTAAATGAATGGCAAGTGTGTATCAAGTAGCTGCATGCAACAAAAGCCCTTAAGCATACCCACTAATCTGTAGGTTATTGAAGAAGCACCACTCACATCATTTTATTTTAATGCAGAAATTCTTTTTGAGGTGGTTTAGCACATCATGTTTGAACAAGGATTGGGAAAGTTGAATACCTACCGCTTTGTGCTGGTCTGCTTCCGCGGCAACCGCATCCTTGAAGCAGTCCTCGTCCGACTGGAAGGCCTTGTCCGATTTGAGGGATTCATCTTCCTGCACGGCTGCATCCGCCTCAGGTACATCTTCCGTTACGCCGTCTCCCAAATTCTCAGTCTCGCCCTCAGCCTGTTGCTTAGGTTCATCTCTGGCCTCACCCTCTGCAACCACATCCTCAGGAACTGCATCCACCGGTGTCTCGTCCTCTGGAGTATCATCTTCAGGCATCTCTCCCGCCATGCCCTGGACATCTTCCTGGACATCTTCCGCGACTGCAACTTCTTCTTGAGGGTTGGTCTCTGAAGGCTGCAGGCTCTCTACCTCCTGGTGGTCATCAGTGCCTTCTGGGGCTTCATCAGTTTCCTTTTAGAAACCAAAGGGAGCGAAGAATTATAACACAGCTATACACAAGACAAGGGGTGCTTCTGGAACTTTCGGAAATCATTGGAAGCACAGTCTGGACCAAAAGTGTATACAAGATAAAGGTTGTTCTGTGGGTTTCATTATTTCCCATAAGATATCCTTGTGTGTAAATAGTTAGGAGGAAAAATATACTAAAGACAAAGGATAATTCTGAGGATTCAGTATTCCTATTAAGAAATCATTGTGAGTATGGAGTTAATATGAAACCAGAAACCTTTACAATATGATACTCTTCACAATCTCTAAATGACAGTCAATCTTCACAACAAGAATATTTCACAAATTAGAGAAATTTAGTGTTTTGTCAGATGTATGTAAATGCATTTGTTTCTCTCTCATTGTCTTCATTGTTCAACCTTCTGTCCAACTAGTGCAGCATGTTCCGTTTTGTCTTCCTCCATCATAATATCCTCTTCTGCTTTCTGCTCTTCTGGCATCTCCTCAATTTCTTTGTTCCCATCGAAGACATCTTCTTCAGATTTGACTCCCTGTGAAGGCTCTTCACCTTCTGCTTCCTGATCTTCCTCTACTCCGTCGTCTTCTGTCTCTCCTTCTTTCTGCTCCTTGTCAGCACTGCTTACCTCCTACAGATGCAAGAACACTATGGTTAGCTCTCGTGCTGCCATGAACGTTACGAGCATGTTTCATACAATAGTTTTCTGGAGATTGTTTTTCCAACAATTTCTTTTTCCCACCATTCACCTTCATACAAACAGAGTTCTATGATATGTCAATACAAAGTTCAAGGTCCCATTTTGAAAGTCGCACAAGAGGAATAAACTTGTTTAATACCAAACAAAGCACAAATATGTGTCATTTCCACTTCCTATGTCTAATTTGTGTTCGCGGTCCCAACAGATATAACTTACGCAGGGTTAATTGCATTGATGCACATGTACAGTAATGTTGGGTTTGTTTAAACCACCTGTGGGACAGACTGCATAGCAGGATGGCTTTTAAAAGACACCATGCCCTATAAAGGTCCAGTATTTAGTTTAGAACAACAAAGATAATGATAATAATCAGATCAATTTATATAACCAGGGGTGATGGTGAGCACTTCTCCTCACTACCCCCCCCCCCCTTGAGTAAAAAAAAAAAAATTGCATCTAACAACTTCCCCCCCCCCCCCCCCCTTACTAGTAAGAAAATTGGGTAAAAATCTGGGGAAAATAGGGGTAAAATCGGGAAGGAAAAAAGAAAAAAAAATCGGGGAAAGAAAAAAAAAGAATCGGGAAACCGATCTAAATCGGATAATTATCAGGCCTGCATAACACTACTGGCTGTACAATGAAAAAAACTAACAGTGCTACATGTACTTTATGGACACACGACCAAAAACTATTCAAAATCTTCTGAATACAAGTGCATCTTCTACAAAACTTTGAATACAGCAACATATGGGACTTTTCTTATGGCTGGTGGTAGGTTATTCCAAAGATTAGGAGCAGGACAATTACGGTAAAAGCTAAAAGATACAATAATTCTAGATTTAGTATAGTATTAAAATAGAGAGAGAGGGTGAAATGAGAAACACAAAAGCCACAAATACGGTGAGAGAGGAAAAAATTTTTTTATTTGAAGACGAACGAGAAAATGACAGACAACTGAAAGACTGCTGCGTAAAATGAAAGTGAAATTTTATAGGTTATCAGTGAGACTTTCAAAAGTTATATGAATGTTAAAATGGCATACCTGAAAAGTTGGTGAATGGAGAGAAAAGGAACAAATATTAACAATCTGTAGTGGAATGAGGTCACAATTTTAAGATTCAGTGAAGCTAAGAGTTTTCTTTTTTCAAGACAGACCCATTTGCATTGGGCAACTAATAACAGACCTTATCTATATGTAATTGTAGACCAAGCAAATTTGGTGAGATATTGCCTGTGGCCTCTGCTAAAAAAACATGGGCTATGGGACATCAATAAAATGTTAATTCATTTGAGCCCAAAATAAATTCCCTTTTATTGTAGACAAAGTGCCAGATAACCCATTTCCATGAAGCTCACAGCACCCATACACATATACAATCTTTCTGCGATCTGATTTTTAAAGAAATTGCAGTTGCATTGCATGTGGAAATCTAAATAAATATAATCTTCCTAATGGAGTTTCTGAATAATGATACGAATACCAAAAAAGATAAAGTTGAGTTCTGGTTATGTGATTGCATTGTGAAAGAAACGGTGTGGAATCGACGAGGAAGAGGTTGATCATGTAGCATATAAGTATTGGTGTGCGTGTACTGCAAGGTTCTGCAGTCATCAAAATGATAAGAAATTTGGCCCAGTCTATGTAAAGTAACAAGCATCGTTCACAGAAACATGTGTATGGGACTACACAAACATGAAGCATAAAAATAGGGCCTCATGTTTAAAGGGACTTGGTAACATTCTTCAGATGAGAGATAGTGGTGCTAAGAGAGTGACTTCAATGCTAGATGTACAATTAAAGATAATCTGAAAATTTGAGTGAAAACGGATGTTAATGATACAAATTGGGAAAAACTGATCTGATCGATTCCTTAATTCTCCCAACTATATTATTACAATTTAATTTAATTACATTTTAGGTGAATAATCACAAAATGTAAATTATCACAAAGCAATACATTGGCTCTACATACCATGCTAGACATTTAAGTGTTGACAGATTTTTAATAGCCTGTTTTATGTCTTTTTTTATTCATGGAAAACGGTTGGGAAAATTCAAAATTAGTTGGGAGAATTTACTGTTAATCACTGTTAGAGGGTGTTGCACAGTGACGCCTTCTAAGAAAACCATAGATATCTTTGTTGTTTGAGAATTTGTTCAGGGCTTTTTGCATGTCAGAGGGTTAGTACAGTAGAAGGAATAAAATAAGTAACATTTTATACAAAAATTAAGCAATTTTTTCATCTACATTCAACAATGTTACCGAGTCACTTTAAGCTGTTACTTGTCATCTATTTAGAATATAAAGGAATATGAAGGTATTTGAAGAGCCATGATTTTCAGGGAAATTTTTTCTTTGATGTTCTTCCACACTCGCATAACAATGATAATGCTCACAAAGAATTGTTCACCTCCCCCAGAACTCAACCTTCTCTTTAAGCCTTCTAGTCCCTATAAAAACTCAATCGGCTTCAAATCATAGACAATTGTGCAACTGAAATGACATCACTACGATTCTGAGCTGAGAAGGGTTTTCCTCCTTCAAAGGCTCTGTTATTGTAGTATTCATACAGAGCTGCCAACCCCAATAGAAAAAAATCCCATTTTTTCCCCAAAAAAATCCCATTTTTGATCGATAAGTAATTTATTTTGTTAGACTGTGTTCGTCGGCATTTTGAACAATAATGCACGAGTACATTTTACAAACATTTTGTTGAATAATGCAAGAGTTTGTCATGAATGATCGTTCAATGAACCAATGAGCAGCATGTAAATGTATTTTTATGGACCATTGGTTAAAAATCCATGATTTCGTCAGGACTGGGGCATTCGATAAACCAACGAACATCTCCCAAATTGCCGATGTCAGATGTAAGCTTGTGGTATAGTTTACAGGAGAGAATGGGCAATTTACCATTGAAAATGGCACATACACAAGCACAATCAAATTTTCGGAAAGTAAATTTATTTTGGGGGGGTTTTTGAAAATCGTATTTTATCGAGGAAAAATCATACTGTAGTTTTTACTTCTTAAAATCATACAAAATATGATAAAATCGTACTGGTTGGCAGCTCTGTTCATATCATTATTCAGAAACTTGTCCTTCCAGATTTGACAAGTTTGAAGGTTTGTGTTGAATGCTAGTGCACATTCTTCCTGAATCGGATCATAGTCGGGTCGCACAGAGTGCGGTGGGCTGTAGACAACATTTGACATACCTGATCTACTTGCACACCAAGCAGATTCAGCGAGATATTGCCTGTGATCTCTGCAAGGAGATTCTCAAGCACCATGTGGGCTATGGCTTCGGTCTAGTGGAGTATTAGATATGAATGAATGAAGCAGATTAAAAAGAGAGCCAGGGCAGAGGGAAAGACGAACACTAGGCGACATGTGCTTCACATTTCTCATAATACTCAAGTTGGAGTATGTGTGAAGGCTCTATGTTGCCTGTATGTTTACTTTTCACTCCAAATATTGTCTCTTGCTTCTCATTTATACAGAGAGTTTTGCCATGGCAATTTTCTTCTGGATGTGGTTTAGCGTGTCTTGTCTGAATGGGTTTTGATAGATGGCTGGGAGCATGGAAGAGAGGAAGGGAAAGCAAGCCATTGAAAGAAGAAGCAGGAGAACCAAGGCCTCATTAAAATATGATGCAGCAAAACAGCAGTATTTTTTTATATTTTTATATAATGTGCATACGTGTCACATTTCTGTGTCTAATAACATGGAGTCGGGCTAACTCGGAACCGCTGCAAAAATGGTCAGTTTTTGCAGGTTTAGGGTTAGAGTTAGGGTAAAATGAAAAAAAAATGACCGTTTTTGCAATGGGGCCGAGTTGTCCCTGGGTCCAAGTTAGCCCGGATCCTAATAACACAGAGCTTGGTGAATACGCCCAGAAACTTGGTTGAACGCAGTTGCCATTCGTTTACATGTAAAAAAAAAAGTGCCTTAATAAGGGACAATGGATTACTGTAAAACAAGAAACATTCACAAGTGTAAAACCTCCACAAATTTTCCATTCTCCACAATTTACAAAATTCCCTGTTTCCAATCTATGAAAGTTTCATTGATGCCATTAAAGTTCAAGGATTAACCTGTGTAAAAGTTAATAACGTGCAGATGCTACTATTTGCTCATGAATACAACACAGTTCTACAACACAAGAGAAGCTACATGTAGGCTTTCTTGATAAAAAGAATACAAATGGAAAGCAGCATAGACATAACGGCCCGAATTCACAAAGGAGGTTTGTCGACAAACCTTGGTTTTCGTACGTCATACGACACGTTTTACATGTTTTTTACAAACCTGGTTTGTAAAGAACAAAAGGAGGTTTGGCGAAACAAAAGGAGGTTTGGGCTCAAACCTTGCTTTGTGAATTTGGACCATTGAGAGAGAGGGAGGACGAGAGAGAGGACGAGAGAGAGAGGAAGAGAGAGAGAGGAAGAGAGAGAGAGGAAGAGAGAGAGAGAGAGGAAGAAGAGAGAGGGAGAGGAAGAGAGAGAGAGAGAGAGAAGAGAGAGAGAGGAAGAGAGAGATAGAGAGAGAGAGAATCAGAAACAGAAAGAGAGAAATACAAATAGAAAGAAACATAGAAACAGAGAAAGAAATATAGAAAGAAAGAAATATAGAAAGAAAGAAAAGACAAAGAGGATGGGAAAAAGAGGTAAATTTGATATGGCAATTGACATGACTGAAATAAACAAATTAAAAGTTACCTCCTGTTTCTCCTCTACTACCACTGGTAAACCAGTATCCATGTCTGCTTCGGCAAGATCCATCCCGTCCTCGCTTACATCAAGTCCTAGCTCATGAAGGCTTGCAGAGAGAACCTGCTCCACTAACTCAAGGGATGCTTGTTCTAAGGCTTCACCTGTTAAAGCAACAAACAAAAACAGAAGGTTATCCTCTTGCTAAAATAAAATTTGTAAATAACAAGGTAAAGTTCAGGGCAAGCAGAGTTCCACACTAACTCTCTTTTTTAGGAAGTTTGTGTGAACATGCCCATACAAAATTCAGAGGTTCACAGTGATTTTTGTTTTGTATATGACTGAAAGAAGTAGATTGCTCTGCAATTTTAAGCAAGATTCAACTATAGTGACCCCACATTACAAATTGGCAACTTTGTAGTGGTTGCTGAAAGGAAACGAGTTTTATTACAAAGTAAAAGTTTCTGAATGTACACAAAAGGACAAGCAAATTATTCTTTGATGTCCGTTGTCTTTCCATCAAACAGATAAATTACACCCCCCTTCCCAGATACATACATGTACATACACTGTAGAGTGCCAAGGTATTCATTTGAAGACAAAACTATATCCACATTACCTGACGAGCTGGCTGTAGAGGCAATGGAAGTAACAGAGGGAAACTGCCTGACCCTTTCAGCAGTAGACACAGCATGGCCTTTGTCTACCATCACATCTCCGATATTCATGCCCATGTCCATCAATTTCACTGCTAAGGTACCTGTAAGGTGCAAATCGTAAGAAAAAAGGATTGGAGGAAGAGGAGATAGCATTACCTCAGGCACAATCAAGAGAGAGTATTCAGACAAATGAGAATCAACTTACTCATCTTGGTTTTTATTCTAAGCATTTGCGATAAATACTTATGGTATGTTAAATATTCAGCGTGAATTTAACACATACAGCCATTGCATAAATGATTTTATCAATGAAAATAAATGTCAGAAACAACTGCTTGTCACTTTGAAATAATAAATGGGGCATTAATAGAATTGCCTGATATGGAAAATAAATCATATACTTGATTAGATACATATTAATAAGAAATCAAATCATTTAAAAAATGTATTCCAACAGGACCAACACTAAAACCTGCAAAAATGGTAATTACATCCTTTTATTTTGCAGAACATATTCCTACTCAAAAAGGGGAAAACTGAAAATACATGAAGAAATTTTGATACATGTGTATTAACCCTAATCATTCTGATTTTTTTCTTTTTTCTTGAAGATATGTATCAGGAAACATTTGACTCACCATTTGATTCACCAACCACTACCATCAGCAACAGTTTGTCAGCCACAGCAGTCTCAAGGAACTCAGCAGCTGAACCACTCCACTGGCCCCCATCTACCGGGCCGACACCGTCAAGAGAACCACGTATGACCTGGGATTCCAGCACCATCAACTCTGGAGTTATCACCTTCAGGTCCACCAACCCAACAGAATCTGAGTTTCCATAGTCTACAAATTGGACAGTTGCAGAATCCTTCTCCAAGGACGTGACGATTGCTCTATACCATCCTTCATCGCTCGAGTACTTGGCCACGCAAGGAGCTCCCACTGTAGGGTTGACGAGTGCAGTGGTGTCTGGATTCTCAGCGTAGGTGTTCAGTTCATCCATGAGTATGGCAAGGGCTTCTTCTCCGGCTAGGGGCTGGATCCAAAACTCACTTGGTGAAGTGGTTGCAGTTATGTAAATCTCAGCTCTCTTTTGCTCCTGAAGTGAGGTACTCAAGGACTTGTACTCTTTTACTTCTTCAGGACTTTCCTTTGGCTTCTCACCTACAAGAGCCATCATGTCAGTATTGATGTCCTTCTCACCATCCTTCAACTTGACCAGGACAGGCTTCTTGGTTGCATCAAATGAGCAGGTGAGCTCCTTCTCAGAGGTGATGTTCAAGAAATGGTCCACAGCATCCTGTTGCCATGGCACTTCTGCCAAACCAATCAGCCGACATTCTATGGCAGCTTGTGGTAGTTTCAAGAGTTCTGCTGTAGGAGCCTTCAAGTCTGAGAACTGCTTCTCTTCGCTGTTCCCATAGTCAATAAAGAACACATTGGCAGTGGATGAGGTCGTTGTCATGACAATGCCTCGGTACCACTGCTCATCTTCTGTGAACTTTGTACAGCATGCTTGGTCTCCTGATAGTTGCTGGAGTTGATGTTCACTTTCACTGCAGGAGCTGTAAGTACTTTCCAGTAGTGTTGTGATAGTGTCAAGCTGTTCCGTTGCAGACGCTAGCTGGATGAAGATCTTTCCTGTTGTTGCATCTACGTTTACAGCATAGCCTGCTTGTACTCCAGAAGCTAGTTGTGGAGATGCGTATGATACCACTGGGTCTGAAACTTTGCTCTCTACACCCTTTACTAGTTTGACTATGTCAGCATTTAAGTCAACATCATTATCTTTCAGATGAACAACAAAAGGGCTTGTGGTTGATACAACGAGCAGGTCAGTTCTTTCTCTGCTGAAGCATTGATCAGATGATCTGCAGCATCTTGTTGCCATGGAGACTTGGGAACTCCATCCAGAGAACACTCCAAAGCAATCTGTGGTATCTTGAGTAGCTCCGGTGTTGGAGTCATCAACTCACTGACTGGTTTTTCCTCACTGTTGCCATAGTCTACAAAGAAGACATGAGCTGACTTATCTGAGATTGTGGTAATGCTGCCTCTATACCACTGGCCATCCTCTGAGAACCTTGTGCAGCATGCCTGTTTTACTACTGGTGCTGCAAGTTGAAAGATCACTGCCACATGACCCATATGTGGCTTCCAGCATAGCTGTTACCGAGTCCAGTTGTTCCGTTGCAGATGAACGTTGGACATAGACTTTACCACTTCCAGCATCGACATTGACAACATACCCCAGATGAGCTCCTGCACTGACAGATGGGAGGGGATACTCTGTTGGTTGTGCTATTGTTCCTGCACCTGTAAATTTCACCATCTCTGCATTGATATCCACTGCGTCATCTCTTAGAGAAACAGAACATGGATGAGTGGTGCTTGAAAAGGTACAGGATACCTCTTTCTCTGCAGTGATGTTCAGGAAATGATCAGCAGCCCCCTGTGTCCAAGGTAACAATTGCACTCCATCTAGACAACATTCCAGAGCAATTTGTGGCACTTTGAGAAGGTCTTCGGTCGGCTGCTTTAACTCATTAATGGGCTTTTCTTCACTGTTTCCATAGTCAATGAAGAGGACCGAAGCCGTGGAAGAAGTGGTAGCAGTGATGACACCTCTATACCACTGTTCATCTTCTGAAAACTTGGTGCAGCAAGCTTGACTAGGAACAGGTTGGAGAAGCTGATGTTCTGTGGGACTACATGATCCATAGACAGATTGCAGGGTAGATGTTATTGAGTCTAGTTCCTCAGTACAAGAGGCAAGTTGAAGGAAGACTTTGCCAGAGTTAGCATCAATATTGGTAACATAAACAGTTTCTGTCGAAGTGCTGACTTCTGAAAGAGGGTATGAACTTGGTTCCTTCACATCACCGACATCCTTCTTGATTTCTTCTGTGATGTCAATGTCATCCTCTGTATTTGTGTCATGCAAGGTGACCGTTAGTGTGGACACATCATTCTTGAAGACCTTCGCCACCAGCTGTTTCTCTGATGTCAGCTCAGTGAACTTCTCTACAGCTGGAGTTGACAGGGCCTGGGCAGGGGAGAGGCCATAGAGATTGCACTGCATTGCCTGGGCAGGGAGTACAGTCAAGTTACTAGCTAGGACCCTCAAGTCATCTACCGGCACAGAACTTTGATTTCCGTAATCAATGAAGAGTACTTCTGGGGAACCAGCTGGAATGACTTTGGTGATTCTTGCACGATACCATGCACCATCATCAGCAAACTTTGCGCAGCATACTAGCCCTTCTCGCACAGCAGATGGATCTACTTTCTTCTGCGACTCTGCATTAGCAAGACCATCCATTACTGCATCTAACTCTGGACTCTTCTTGGCCAATTGACACCAGAACTTGAAAGGGCCTTCCCAGTAGGAGATGACAACATCCTCAATCTGGTCAACTACCAAGCTTTTCTGCTCTGATGGAATCTTAACACTTAACACTGGTGTTGACCTTGTAGTGGTTGGAGCCTCTTGTACTTGTAGGACTGGAGCTGCCACTGCTGTCATTTCTTTCCTGGAAGGAGGCACCACTGGTGGAGCTGGTAGCTTGATCTTGTTCAATTCTTGAGTCATTCTTTTCCCTTTCCATTTCAGCTCTACTTCGTATACTCCACAGTCTGCAGTTTTTACCTCACAATTGAATGGCCCAACCTGATTTGCAACTTCTTTCATTGCATCAATTTGTGCACTCTGCCACTCTTGGTCACCCTGCAAACTACACTTGACAGCAAGCACTGGCAATTTCACCAAGTCAGGTAAAATTTCCTTTAAGTTGCCAAGTGCCATTTTTTCAGAATTTCCATAGTCAACGAACATCACTTCTATCTTCCTGACATACTTGTTCACAACAACAGCTCTATACCAGCACTGATCATCTGAAAACTTGGCAACACATGGTGTCCCAACTGTCGTGTTACTCAGTCTCTTGTCATTTGGACGAAGGCTACTGTACCTGGCATGCAGTTCTGACATCACTCTATGAAGCTGGGGCGTTGATTCTGCTGTTTGACACCAGAATTCACTGGGACTATTAATGTGTGAAAGGAAGACATCCACTGTTCCTTTAGATGGAAACGTAACCTCCTTGAATTGAAGAGGGACTGCTGGTTCTTTGTTAGTGGGAGATGAAACAGCATCTGACCTTCTGCCAGATCCCTTACCTCTTGAGTCATCTGAGCGAGAACTACGACCACCAGATTTGTTGGACCTGTCCGACACATTAGAAGACACCGAAGCTCTATCTCCACGTGGTTTCGAGAATCTTGAATTATCTGGGGCATCACCACTGCCATCACTGTTGAAACGACTGCCTTTGCCTATATGCTGACCAAATCTATCATTCTGTGGTGGTGACTTAGCATGTGATCCATATCTCTCTCTCTCTGGACGTGATCTTTCTGAACTGTAGCCATCACTGCGAGGGGGTGACTTTACAATACGTTCATTCTGATCCTGTCTTCTCTGTTGAACAGGCTGTCTAAACTGATCATTGATGCACTTCCCATCTGAAATTAGGCGCACATTGTAAACACCACTGATCCTGTCTTTTCCTTTCACTTCAAGGGTGCATTCACTCTCTATGTATCCCTGAAGCTTGGCAACTTCTTCACTTGTCTGTTGGCCAGCAGGAAGGCCAATTAGGAGACAGGCAATGGCCTGCGCAGGTAACTCAAGCATGTCTGGAGACAACATCTTGATCTGACCTGGATTCACCATTTCAGAATTGCCATAATCCACAAAAGTGACTTCGACGTCCCCATTCTTACGAATGCCAGTGATCTTGGCTCGATACCATGCCTGATCTGCTGAATACTGGGCTCCACATGACATCCCTATTGTCAACTTTGGGATGCTAGATCCAAAGTTTGCAAACTGCTGGCTCATGTGCTCCATAAGGGCTTCTAGCTCTCCAACTGTCGATGACTTCTGGACATAGCACTTGCCCTGATCATCAACATGGCCGATGAAGACCGGTAGCTCCTCTCCTTCCCTCAATGTCTGTGTCTTGTACTCCTTCAGCATTTCTGCTCTTGGTGATCCTCTGGGGCTGCTATCCTGTAGCATATTAGCAACCATACTGTTGATATTATCTCCACTGGAGCGATCAGTGAGTTTAATAGTATATGTGCCTCTCTGCTCACCAACTATTGTAGCCACCAGGTCAAGTTCAGCTATGGTTGAATCCATGAAGTCCTTCACTTCTGTGGACTTGGAAGCCTTGGTGTGTGAGATACCATCAAGATTACATAAAATAGACTGGATAGGTAGACTGAAGAACTGTGGCTTTAGATTTTTCAACTGAGCTGGTGTAACTGTCTCACAATTGCCATAATCCACATAGCGCACTTCAACATCTTGGCCCCGTACATACGTCACCTCTGCCCGATACCATGCATTGTCTTCTGAGAACTGTACACAGCATGGAAGGCCTCCTGCAACTTGCCGGATCCCTTGATCCCCAGGAGAGATATTAGAGTAGGCTTGATGAAGATTATCAATCATTGGATCAAACTTGTCTGCATCTTTCATTAGGTGGCAAGAAAAATCTGCTCCACTTTTCACAAAGGTTATTTGCACATCCAGCTGATCACCAACTCTTATCTGCGGTTTCTTGAACTTGGGCAGGTTGAAATCCAACTCCCTAGCTGGAGACTCTCCAGCATCTCCAGCTCTAGCTGGGATATTGCGAGCACTGTACCCCTGATGAGGGCTTTGCTTTGCTTGTGGACTGCTACCCTGACTTGGACGTCCTGCGAGCCCCTCCTTCACCAACGCATTTGCGATGTCAGCGTTTTCTCCACCTGTTGGATCCACCATGAGCAACGAACACTTGTCTCCAATCCTTTTGGTCACTTTGCAGCAAACTGTCTTCTCTACTACCAGTTCTTCAAACCTTCCAGCAGTTGCATCAGAATTACAAGAATCTGGGTCTACATCACTCAGGCAGGACTCGATAGCAACTGCAGGTAGGAGGAGGAATTTGGGGTGCACCTCTAACAAATCCTCCCCTCTTTTGATGTCCGAGTTGCCATAATCAATAAAGAACACTTCATAATTGTTAGGGCCCATTGTATTTGTGATCACAGCTCTGTAGTAGCTACCATCATCTGAAAAAGTAGTCACACAAGGGTCTCCTTTCGAAAAACGCCTCTTCTTGGAAGTGCTGTTTGGTGCCTGTGAGTAGTGAGTCAGCATGTCATTCATGAGTTCATCTAAGTCCTTTGTCATCATCTCTTGTTGAATCCAGAACTGGTTTGGAGTGTTGACATTGCTAACAAAGACACGATCTCGACTGCCGACGTCCAGTCCCATCGTCTTGAATCCATTCTTCTTTGATGGGCTGGCTTCACCGGTAGCTGCTTGTCCGAATCCATCACGGATTATGTTTTGCGCAACGTCCTTCCCACTGCCTATATCACACAGCTTCACCTCCAGGTTCCCTCCAATTTTTGCAATAACTTCTGCTGCGAAGGTTTGGTATTCTAGCTGCTTGCGTATGTAATCATACGTGCCTGCCTTCAAAGATGAATGTTCCAGCATAGGTTCCACATTGGCAAGTTTGCAATTAGTCGCTTGCGGTGGTAGATCAAAAACACTCTTCGTTTTCTGAACAGTCCTCACTCTGACTCTTGGAATGATCTCTGTGTTCCCAAAATCTATGAAGTATGCAATGACATCATTGCCAGTGACGCTCTCCACTCTTGCGCGATACCACTGCCCATCTTCCATAAATTTTGCTAGGCACGTATCCCTGCCGAAAGTGATCCCACAGGTGGGAACACATCTTGCTCTGCGTGCACTTGTGCTTCTTGCATCAAAGTCTCCAGCCTCTCCACAGATTCATTGTCAAACTGTCCCCAAAATCGAAATGCATTCTCTTGCTTATCAACTTCAAATGCAGTTACAAATACCTCCCTCCTATCACCCACCTCCAACAACTTTGCTCCTCTCTGGCGACTCATTTTTATTGTAATTTTATTCCCTAAAAAATGACACTAAATTATTGTTTTCTGGCATCACAAGAAAAGTTACCACATGTCATTGATATCCTGCCTCATAATACTTCAGGTTTGAGAATGAGAGTACTGAAACTTAGCTTTAAAACTGATGACTGCTATTTGGTGTCTCCATCATCATCCTGTCACAGAAACATGACTTGACTGAGCTCAGTTGATGGTCATTTACTGACACTGACAGTAGATTCTACTTCAGACTTCAGTACTTGTCTCGTGTCGAGGAAAGTCAGCGCCGAGGCTGAGGAGCAGGAATGCAGTCCTTCCAAAAGTCCTACTTCTGTCGGACTGTAGAATGAATATATGTTGCCTCACACCGCTTCATCTGGTTTAGTTGACGAATTTCAAGTCTTACTGCATCTGATTATGAAGACCCTCGTTTTCTTCCTTTCCCTCTAAAACTAGCATGCTTCGAGCGCAACGCGCGGCCTCATCGAGTTCAGCATGCATGCATGCAGCATGTATACGTACGTACGTACGCGTACGGTACAACTATACCTTAATATACCGCACAAAATAATAATGTGTAGAAAACCCATGTGGAACAAATTCAACACGATCGTACCGTGCAAGTGGAAGTGGGCCGTGGATTCTGGTTAGTTTCAATTTAGGCGTCTTGGTTTCTACCTCAGGAAAATGAGCAGAGCGTCCCTAAATTATGACTCTGGAATTTAAAGTGCAACATAGCCGCTGCTTGAGCATGTTTATTGCACCCGTCCTTAGAAATGGTGAATAATGTGCGTGACCATAGAACATTCTTCTTTGGTGCTGTTCGTAATTCGGACAACAAAATACAAAAACACGGTTGAATTAACAAACAAAAAGGGAGGCTATAAGGCTATATTGAAGAATGGGTAAAAGGCATAGAGATGTACTATGGTAAAAGGGCAGCTATAGCTTGGAACCCCCTGCCAGTTGTCCGCAACTTGTATTCCCTCAATATGGCTCAGACAGGCGTGTACGCGGGTAGGGGGGGGGGGGTATAGAAAAAGGAGGCAAAACGAAATTAGTGCTCCTTACCCCCCCCCCCCCCCCCCCAAAAAAAAAAAAAAAAAAAAAAAAATCGAGCGAAATATCGGTCGGCGCGATTTTCACATTTTAATTTTATTTATTTATTTACCTTAGTTTTATTTATTGGTATATATTGATCGACCAGCAAAAGGGTCAATTTACAAAGGTACAGTCAGAGGCGGCGGAGCTACTTCCAAAGTGGGCCGGCGGGGGGGGGGGGGGGGGGGGGGAAGAGGATCATATATATATATATATATATTTTTTTTTTGGGGGGGGGCTCCCGAAAATTTGAAAACCGCGCCGGCCGAAAATCCGCTCAGTGGGGGGGGGGGGGGGGAGGGGGGAGGGGGGGGGATTTGGCCACGAAAATTTAAAATTTGGAGGAGGGGTCCCGAAATTTAAAATTTTGACCCATCGACATTCCGTTTCGTTGGGGGGGGGGGGTAAGCTTTGTTAGGTCATCTATAAGGATTTTTTTTTTTTTTTTTTTTTTTTTTTTTTAATTTAAAAAAAGGGGGAGTTCCCCCCAAAAACATACACCAAAACATTACCACCCCCCCCCAAAAAAAAAGATTATATATATATATATATATATATATATATATATTGGTACGTAATGGTGACCAGCATTGACGTACTGGGGGGGGTGCAGGAAGGGGCGATTTCCCCTCCCTCCTTCGCAAAGCGCCGAAGCTTTGACGTTTCATTAAATTATTAGAGAAAGAAGACGATTCGTTGAATCGTTCTCGAAAATAATCCTCGTCTGAAAACAGTTTCCCCCCCCCCCCCGTCCCGCGCGCGCGAAGCGCGGAAGCTTTTACGTTTAATTAAATCATAAGAGAAAAAAGACGATTCGTTGTACCGTTCTCGACTCTTAATCCTTGTCTTAATTCAGTTCCACCCAGAGGCGGCCCTCCCGGGGGGGCACAGTACCCCCACTTTTTCAGATACCCCAAAAGTGCCCCTTTTTACATAGGAAAATTGCCCTTTTATTTAGTAAGAAGTGCCCCTTTTACATAGGAAAAGTGCCCCTCTTACTTTGACAAGTGCCCCTATTACTTAGTAAAAGTGCCCCTTCCCCCTTTTCACCTCTGACGAGTGCCCTTTTTATTTTTGACACGTGCCCCTTTTCCTTCGACATGTTCCCATTTTCCTTTGCAATAAGTGTCCATTTTCCGTTCTCATAAATCTTGAAATTATCTTGAATAAGTGCCCTTTTTAATCTCTAGTAAGTGCCTCTTTTCACGTACGAGAAGTGCCCCTTTTCACTTTTGATAATTGCCCCCTTCACCTCTGATAATTGCCCTATTCAAAACTGAGAGGTGCTCCTTTTACTTTGACAACTGCCCCTTTTTCCTTTGTAAGAAGTGCCCCTTCTCCTTTAAATAACTACCCCTTTTTAAACTCGGATGAGCACACCTTTCATTTTAACATGTGCTCCTTTTATTTTCTAATAAGTGCCCCTTTTTCTTATGATAAGTGCCCCCATTAAAAAGAGAGAGCTCCTTCCCCCTCTCATAACTACCCCTTTCCCTTTCTAATAAGTGCCCCTTTTCCTTATGATAAGTGCCCCCATAAAGAAGACAGAGCTCCTTCCCCTAAGCATTACTGCCCCTTTTAAAAATCTGAACGGTGCCCCTTTTCATTCAACAAATGCACATTTTCCTTTATTATAAGTGCCCCTTTTACATGTTCATAAGTGCCCCTTTTCATATCTGGTCAGTGCCCCTTTTCACCTCTGATAATTGCCCTTTTAATAATGATACGTGCCCCTTTTACTTTCTAATAAGGGACCTATCCCCTTTTCACCTCTTATAAATGCCCCTATCAAAATCTGATGGGTGCCCCTATTCCGTCAACAAATGCCTATTTCCCATTTTCGTAAACGCCTCTTTTCATCACTGGTGAGTGCCTCTTTTCAGGTGAAAAAATGCCTCATTTTCACCTCTTATAATTATCCTTTGTACTTTGACACGTGCTCCTTTTCTATTCTAATAAGTGTCTTATCCCTTTCGATAATTGTCCCCTTTTCATGTAATCATTAAACGTGTCCCTTATTTAAAGCAACTAAGAGCAATTTCCCCCAAAGTTTGCTCGATGCGCTCGCTCGCATTTAAAGATGATATAATTATGTTACTTATCAAAGGTCTTTTCAGTCTTCCGTTATGAAAATGTGCTTATAAACCCCATCACGATTGGCTTTTTTCCTCTTTAAAAGATGTAATTTTTCGCACTGCGACCTCTCAGATCTTTAAAATTTTTCTCGCTCGCTTCGCTCGCTCGTAAATGCATATTCAGACATCACACCCAACTGTAAAGTATGATGCTTAAGCGATATCTTGTATGATGTATGAAGAGAAACAAATATTGAAATCATCTCTGATAATGTAATCGCAATGTACATGTAGGGGTATATACCAATGTCTAAAAAATGGTATAGTTCGCTTTGAGATTTCCCACTGTAGGTGCCCTTTTTTCCAGAAAGTGCCCTTTTTTGTTGGTGCCCCCCCCCCACTTTGGAAGTCGCTCGGCCGCCCCTGCTTCCACCACCTCCTGCGCGAAGCGCGGAAGCTTTGAAATTTCATTTAATTATTAGAGAAACAAGACGATTCGTTGTACCGTTCTCGAAAATAATCCTGGTCTGAATTCAGTTTACCCCTCCCCCTGGAAGCTGTTTCGTTTCATTAAATCATTAGAGAGAGAGGACGATTCGTTGTACTGTTCTCGACTCTTATTCCTCGTCTGAATTTAGTTTCCCCCTCTCGCGCGAAGCGCGGAAGCTTTTACGTTTCATTAAATTATTAGAGAAAGAATTCTCGACTTTTAACCCTTGTCTCAATTCAGTTCCCCCCCCCCCCCTCCCGCGCGAAGCGCGAAAGCTCTGGCGTTTCATAAAATTATTTAAGAAAGAAGACGATTCGCTGTAACGTTCTCGTCTCTTAATCCTTGTCTCACTTCAGTTCCCTCACCTCCTGTGCGAAGCGCGGAAGCTTTGACATTTCATTTAATTATAAGAAACACAAGACGATTCGTTGTACCGTTCTCGAAAATAATCCTCGTCTTAATTCAGTTTACCCCCCCCCCCCCCCCCTCCCGCGCGAAGCGCGGAAGCTATTACGTCTCATTAAATTATTAGAGAAAGAAGACGATTCGTATTACCATTCTCGACTCTTAACCCTTGTCTCAATTCAGTTCCCCCCTCCTGCACGAAGCGCGAAAGCTCTGACGTTTCATCAAAATTATTTAAGAAAGAAGACGATTCGCTGTAACGTTCTCGTCTCTTAATCCTTGTCTCAGTTCAGTCCTCCCCCCCCCCCCCCCCCCCTCCTGCGCTAAGGCTTTGACATTTCATTAAATTATTAGAGAAAGAAGACGATCGTTGTACCGTTTTCGACTCTTAATCCTTGTCTGAATTTAAAAAATCTTTTTTGTCTACTCTTTTTTCTTCCTACGTCCTCTCCCTTTTCTATCCTCTCTTTCTTTGGCCGGCCTTTTTGGGGGGGCCGCCCCCACCGCCCCTGGCTACGCGCCTGCGGTCAGATGAACATATTTTGATACCTTGTCCGCCCCCGGAAACTCAGGGGTTTAAGGCAATAAATTACGGTCAGATAAGCATTCAGGGTCCCGCCTTAGGGTCCCTGGTGGGGTAGAGGGTACGGAGCCCCCAGAAGCTCAAGGGTTTTAGTCACTAAATTACGGTCAGATGAGTATCAAGGGGCCCGTCTTAGAGCCCTTAGTTGGGTCCCGGGGGGCAAGGTCCTTTCGGCCCCACCCGTTTACACACGTTGTTGGCGGGATTAACCGCAGACTATCTATTTCCCCTTCTTTTCACCCTTTTTTTCTCTTCCTCTTTTTTGGTCCCTTTTAGCTCTCCTTTTTTCCTTTTCCTTCCTTCTCTCTTTTTTGTTAGCGGGGGTGGGGGGAGGCAAGGGTCTTTTGCCCCACCCCCACCCCGATCCACAAATTGTTGGTGGGAAAATTGCAACTAATACCCCCTTCTTTTTTTTCTTCTTCCCCAATTTCCTTCCCTTTATCTCCTCTTTTCCTTTTTTCTTTCCATTTCCTTCCTTCTCTCTTATTTTTTTGATTGGGGGGGGGGGAGGCAACAGCCTAGGAGGCGAGGCCCCCCCGATCTCCTTCTTCCCCCTTTTCTTTTCTTCTTCCTCTTCTTTCTTTCCCTCTCTCTCCTCTTTCCCTTCTCTTCCTTCTCTCTCTCCCTCTCTCTCTCTCTCTCTTTCTCTTTCTCTCTTCCCCCCCTTTTTTTTCCTTCTTTTTTTTCCCAGGGGGGGGGGGGGGGCGGGCCCCCTTGGCCCCACTGGATTCGCCACTGGGAAAGGGGCACTTGTCAGTAAAACGATTATCTCTCAGAATTGAATAGGGTCAGTTTAATGAAAAGGAACTATTTTCATAGATGAAAAGGCTGGGGGCATTTATGAGAAGGGAAAGGGGCTCTTTTTTAAATGGGGGTATTTATCATAAGGAAAATGGGCACTTATTAAAAAGGAAAGTGTGCACATGTGAACATATAAGGTGCGCTTTTCCATTTGAAAAAAGGGTAGTTATTACAAGGGGAAGGGTCACTTTTTACAAAGGAAAAGGGGAACTTGTCAAAGCAAAAGGGGAAGCTCTCAGATTTGAATAGGGCAATTATCAGAGGTGAAGGGGGCGCTTATCAAAAGTGAAAAGGGGCGCTTCTCATACCTGAAAAGGAGAACTTACTAGAATTTAAAAAGGTACTTATGACAAAGAAAATG